GGATGGGTTGCCCAGGGAGGCTGCTGATGCCCCATTCCTGGAGGTTGTTAAGGGCAGGTTGGAGGAGGTTTTGTGCACCCCGGTCTAGTGGTAGGGTTCCCTGCTCATGGCAGGGGGGGTTGGAGCTGGATGATCTTTGAGGTCCCTTCCAACCTTAATGATTCTATGATTACTTATGTTTTAAACAACTTAAGTTCAAACTTCTTGAACTAGTCAAAGGACTATAGCTGCAAATAAGATAATTAACTCAATCCTGCTTAATTGTTTGTTTTCGTCTACTAAAGGAAAAAAAAAGCTTACATGGTGTGTTTCAGTTTGCTTATAGGAAATCAGAATTGTGCTTCACAAGGGCAAGCAATAGAGACTTATCTCTACACAAAGACAACAGGTTAACTGGAAAAGATGACCAGTAGGAACACAAAGAGTTCTCATATCTTAGTGGTGATTATATCTCAGCATTTTGTGTATTTTGCTTTATGTGTCACATAAAGCAGTGAGGAGCCACAGTTGAGTGGACACAAAAATATCATATCATTGGACTACCTAAGCTATTTTAATGTTCTGAAAGATGCTGCTGAAAATTAGATCAAATTCTAGAACATGGGCATTCTCTTCAGTAGTTTTTTTTACCTGCTGAAGGTAACACACTAAAACAAAACTACATTATAAAGAAGAGGCATGAGGTAGGTATATAAAAAGACATGAGTAAGTGCCATGACTCATCTCCCGAAGTACACAGTTGCCTACATGAATTACACACCTAAAAGGCAGCTTGTACTTTCATATACCAAACTTGTGCTTGTAGTCATACAACTGTGCATGAACCTTAGGTATTCTCTCCTGAAAATGTGACCATTGTCAAATATCACCAATTGCAAATCTTGAAAACAACAGAAGAATAAACCATATTGTATATATAAATAAATACCAAAAAAATAATCCCCTTTGGGATCACAGGAATCCCATGTAATTTCCTGGTATGAAACTTAAAAATGGCACTAATAAATTTCAAAGGACCTTTTCAATCAACCTTCTAATGCACATCACCATTCTTTTCCCTTGGGGCTGCTAAATGTGTCCTCTACTTACTTATGGTATTGTTGTTCCTTTACCCCAGCCACTAGATGCTTATATTCTGGACATGAAGGATCCCATTGCTAGCTACGGTGTCTCTATCTACATGTTTACAAGGACATCACTGAGCAGAAAAGCAATTTTAACATACATTTCTGGGGAGCCAGTCAAAACAACCCACTGTACCTCATTATTAGTGGGGAAAATAACAGACCTGGGCAAGTCATTATAGGCAAAGTCTAAAATAGATGTAGCTTTCCCTTCTGTTTGAAGAGGTTTGTATCAGAGGATCTGAAGGTTCCTGAATGGACTGTGACGGAATATGAATCAGAGGGAGCTAGAAAGATCAGTGTTTTTAAAGGAAACATGTTTTGAATGGAAGTGTAAACCAATTATTCAAAAATAAAGGTGACATAAATAAAAAGCAAGATTTGCAAACTAAATGTTAGTAAAGAACCACACAATCTAGTCTACCAGAAAATACTGGTAATGATACTGTGATGGAGAAATCCTTCAAAAGAGGGATAGTTTGTAAATAACCATTTTAAGACCAGTGATTTTGCCTTTTAAAAATTACCTTAAATGCTGTTTCACACCTTCTAAAAAAGATAAAGAGAACAGTAACTGAAAGATAAAGATAAAATTATAAAAAAGATTAAAAGAACGGTTGGATACCCCAGAGAAATACATGAATATATATACATATAAATGTATCTACTTGCTCTGTTCTCCCACTTTTCTGTAAGTGTCTGCTCTTGGCCACTGTCAAGACTGCATGCTGGGTTAGGTGGACTTGTAGGCTCAGACAGAACACCCAAAAAGCTATTTATTTCTTTACAAGTGCCAGTTCACCTGGCAGCCTAGGATATGTGCTGATGTTATCCATCCCTTTTGTATGGCAACAGCTGTATCTTACATTTCCAAAGGTGTTGCACATAGTGTGGGTTTGGTTAATATCCAGAAAATGGTTTACACTGATTGTGAAGCACCTTAAACAAGTTCTATTGAGGTTTGAGAAGCAGTATGAATGACTGCTGAAAGCTATCCCAGAGTAAATTTTTGTCCTAGGCAGATTGTCCACTGACAGAAAGCACCTTGAAGCACTTCATTTTGTCTACCAGACTGGTAGAAAATCTAGCAAATTAACTGTGTTGAACTTCACAGGGACAGAGGAATACTCCCCTCAATGCTGTGGCTCACATTAAGTTCACAAAAACACCTGGGGTAATTTAAGGTGCAGCTGTAGCCTCCTGACTGCCCAGCCCCTTCTTTTGTGGTTATTAACATTAACCAAAAGTGATATATAAGAGAATTTGTACGGTTCAGGTATCCTAGGTCCACTTGTCTAGTGTCCTGGTGCAAACCCATTTTCATTATAACAGAACTGGGGCAGCTGGATCTGGGAACACACTTGAACCTGCCACCCTGCTTCAGAGTGAAAAACCTCCAGGAAAGAAGGTGGCATCAGGATTTTAACATTTTTAAGTACTGCTGCCAGATCAGCAAGAGTTTGTCTTTCAGAGGCCTAAGGATCAAATGGAAGAGAAATTAGTAGCTTTGGGTAAAGTTCTCCTCATAAAGCAGTGCCAGTTTCTCATTGGTAAAACCCTGCAAGAATGCTGGATGTATTTTAGGAAAGCAAAGCTGTACTTCAGCTGTAAAATGTCTGGGAAAAGAGCTGAGACATTTCACACTCTACTGGCATCCTCTTTCAATGCTATGACATTTACTACATGGCTGCCCATTGCTACCAGAAATGAGAAATTCATGACCAATTTTCTCAGACCCATTTTCAATTCTTGTGACAACAGAGGCTTGGGAAAGAGGATAAGATGCAAGCAGATGTAAACTAGTAAGTTCTAGCTCTCCAGCTGCAAAGGTTTGCCTTTCTGAAGGGGGGATGGTGTTGAGCAGCATGATCCATCCTGCAGGGCAGGAGCCTCCCTTGGTGGCAGGCAGAGCTGTACACTTTCCAAGATGTCCAGTCAAGCCAGCTGCCTGCACAGCTACAGATGACACTGAAGTGCCACTCTAGGTGGGCTGGGCAATACCCTGGCTACTGTCAGAAAGCCATGCTGGACAGCTAGGACTGATGGTGCACAAATAGTGCATGGTTTACTTCTTAGCTATGTAATCAGCATCTAAGTTCCAGAGCTGTACTCCTTCATATCTCCTAGCTCCTTTGAGGCTCCTTTTCCAATTCTGCGTTGTACTTCTATTCAACTCTAGTTTTCCACTGGTATGGACTGTCTTACAGGTGGGTTTTTTTCCTGAGGATATTAAATTGGGGTTTTCTTTATGCTCATTTTGTAGCACAAACCTGTAAAAACTCATGCTTTCAAGAGGTGAATACAATTGAACAATTAAGCAAATTCCCTGATTAATGTTTTTCTAAATGGAAATGTATCAAAGTACCTTCTAGAATGAGCCAGGAAATAAGAATGATTACAATTTATTACTCAAAAACCTACCCTTGTCCTTTTCATAACTAATCTTATGCTGTAATACATAACAGTAAATACATGTGTCATTGCTTTGATAACATGTGTATGCACTGAAAAGCTAGCAGGTACTTTTACCAAGTTACCATATAAAGATGGATGGAAGAATTAGTCTTTTAAAAAATCAATGGCATGAAAAATGTTATCAGTATGACAATTCCCACCCACACATGCACAAGATGCATTAATCAACCATACCTAGTTAAGAAAGTAGCTGTAAAGAGAAAATAAAAGTATTTCTGTGGAGTTTTTTATGTATCTGCATTTATGAGAAAAGTTACAGTGAAGATGAATGCACCTTAGTTTGGCTTTTCAAATTTAGCTAGTTATCTAAAAATACAGGTATTTTTGAGTATTAGCCAAGACATTTAACTCTGACTCCTATACATAGTACTGCATCTCCATGAAACCTAGACTGCCTTACTAAATTTGAATCTGGTTCTTCAAACCCACCTTCTTTTTCTCTTTCTGTTCTGTCTTTTCCATATTACCAAGCAATAGTGATCAGGTCTGCTCTCCCCCCCTACTAGCTCTCAGGTGGAGCTGATGGTTACTGTCTCTAATCCATCCTATGGAGCTGCCTTTTCAGGTGCTGCTTTTACTTCCACTTGGACTCTCGCATTTTCAACTGAAACAACCCTTCTGAGCACTGAGGGACTTAAGAATGAGAATGTGAAGTCTCTAAAAGGCCCAGTACATTCTTAGATGTGTAGCTGGGTTTAAAAGAGAAACAGAGGAATATGATGCTGAAATGAATTCAAGGCCCAGCTGTCTCACTGACCATGGTCCTGTAAGGAAGTGGAGGAGTTGGACTAGATGATCTCTAGAGGTCTCTTCCAACCCTGACAATTCTGTGATTCTGAGATATTGTAATAGATCATTTCTCTAGGCTTGTGATACTCTTCCATCATCTTTTCTAAAAAGCAGATTTGTCTTAAACGTATGACAAATCAAAGAGTAACTCCATAGTAAATTTTAGTCACATTCTGAATCAACATGAACCTTGGAACCACAAGTTTGAGGGGAATCTGCTTACTTAGGGTTTGGGGCATTTTTGCTACAGACACAACACAGATCTGAATGTACCTCAAGAGAAATTCAGAGCTGGACTGATAGTTTTCCAAATTCAGAGCTCTTCTACTCAAATATTGCAATCAGGATATCAAGAAAAATATGCGCTGGAGTCACTGACATAAAATAGTGTGTTAGCATGTTTAAATACTACAAAGAAAGGCGCTCTATTATTTGCTGTAATTGAATATTGTGAGAATAATAAATATTTGCTTTCTATGACTGTTGATTCAACACTTACCTGCAGTACTTCAGGCTAAAACCCACTCCTTTTATCATCAGAAAAACTTTCAGCCTTGTCACTCTAGTTGTCAACTTGTTTGCATTGATAAACGACCACTTTTTGCCTTGCAGGTGGTACTGTGAAGGGAAGGAACTTGAAAACTCACCAGACATTCAAATTATCCAGACAGGTGATCAACACTCATTGATTATCGTTGAAGCCTTTGAGGAGGATACAGGACGTTACTCGTGCTTTGCTTCAAATATCTATGGAACAGACTCCACTTCTGCAGAGATTTACATAGAAGGTAGTGTTAGAATTGCTGCAGGAACTGGTTGTTGAAATTGGTCATCCAGAAATAAGATATAATTATATGTATTTTGTATGTTAAATGTGTAATAGATTTGTCAAAAAAACGCGTAGCAGGGACTCAACACTTTTCATCATCAGTAACATATTTATTATTTCTCTGTAAAATAACCTTCAGACAAGTGACTGCCCTTTACATATAATTTTATTGTGTTGCTTCCCAGAGATTTGATACTTCTCACTGCAGGATCAAAATCTAGAAATACTCAGATTCTGATGCTCCTCATATTTGTTGCCTGTGGTTACTCTTCAGAAACATAAGAACCTAAAGTTTGTATCTAATTCTTCTCAA